TTAGTTTTGTCCCATCTCTTTATCAATCTCCATTGCCAACAAGAGCAAAAAAAGAGCATCACAAAAACAGTTCCTTGACAATCTGATGGTTACTGGCACTTCAATGGGCCACCATGCCAACAAAGAAGCCAACGTGCATGGTCAAACATCACATCAAGGTCATTCTAGTAGCTAAGTTTGTACATTTATTGGACAGACTATACATTCCATGTAGTCTGCAAACATGTTTATATGGCTGGCAAACAGAGATAAATATTTAAAAACAGCAATTGTAGAGATTTTCCTAGCATTAAAAATAAAAAGCATGGTAAATAAATGGGCTAATGAGAGAGACATTTTTTAATGAGCCTAAAAATTCCATTTTAGTACTTTCTGTAGTGTCATTAATGCAGCTGCACATGTGTGGAATCTAATGGAAAAACTGATTAAGGGATTTAATTTACAGAAAACCTCCCTGGTGGAGTTTTCATAAACAATATATTTATCTGTGAATTTTTTCCCTTCATTTAACAGAAAAAAAAAAAAGATCATTATGTAAGTTATTTCATTGGTGAACTTATGTCTTTACATAGAACTATCTGATATATTTTCACACAAGAGTTCTTTACTTCCATAAAATAAAAATTTGTTTTATCACTCAACTGCATTTCTCTTTTGTACTGATATTATTTTCATCATTATAATAGTTTTGTATTTAATAAAATTTTTATTATATAATTAAGGTAGGAATGCTTATTTATATATGTGAGAACAAAGCAGTTTTAATGTAAAAATTCAAAAGGGAAAATTTAAACAAAACTCAGAATAACATGACCTTATATAACAGGCATAGTCAAACTTCAAGATAATGGGAGCAGCATGATAGATTTTATGAACATACGAGAGTCGCAAGTCCAAATTTATATCGTTTTAAAAATAATGAGACAGGTTTCAAATATGAGGAAACTTTTGAAGTCAATTAATGAATATGTGATCAACATGATTACATATAAATATGAATAAATACATCTTATATCTACTGTTTTATGTTCATCATGTTAAGTTCCAAGAAAATAAAAATCGTAACTTTTGTACTGGGTAACTGCATGTTTTTTCTTCAGGTAGAGAAATCAAATGCTTTCTTCTGATTTCCTTTTTTTAGTGCTGTCTAAATAATCAGTATTTCTCATGATGGCCCTGGACTGATACAGTATTTCAGCATGACATCCAACGGAATCTGCCACAAATTTTTAGTAATCAGTGCATCATTGAAAATTCTTGAACTATCTCTCAAATTGTCCTGATAATTTTGGACATAGATAACAAAGTTCATGGGCATTATTAAAAATTCTCAAAATTATCTCTCTAATCATCACAATTATTTCGGACATAGATAGCGAAATTCATGCACAGCATTGAAAATTCTTGAAACAATCTCTTGAAATGTCCAGATAACTTTGAACATAGATAACGAAGTTCACGGACATCACTGAAATTTCTCAACACCACCTCTTGAATCATTATGATAATTCTGGACAGACATAACCTATTGCTAAAAAATCTAGTAGTTCATGCTGGGCTATATAAATGCTACGTTCAAACTCTTCAACCTAGCTGTTTAATTCTGAGCTGTTTTTCAAATATGTGGCAAATCAAACCTAATGTTACAGGAAGAAAACATACCTGTCACTAGTATAACGAATTTATTTCACAAATGCAGATATACCATGAACGAGTAACTCTTCATATTTCAATGGACATGTATAGATATTTTACATAGAAGCCTTTTGTGACACAGCAGACGTCTGCATAATAGTTTAGTTCCTAAGGTCTTACAAAAGACGTGTACAGATCCACCGTATTCTAACTGTTGGACCCATAAAGGTGGTCCAAGGATTTACCGTTTCGTCTTGAATTTCTAAATAAAATAACTCAGAAGAAAGTTTTAAATAAATTGTAGTCAGCAGAACGGCTATGTACAACTTTCCATTGGGTTACCTAACCTGTATACTGAAAATAAATTTCAAATGGAGTTTGAAATGGAGTCTGTAGGCAGAGGATATAAAATAAAAGAGCGGACTATAAGATATTTTCTCTTCTGCATTCCTTTATGGTGTAACGGTTAGGACAATCGAAGCATATTCGAGAGGTCCAGGTTTGAGTCTCAGGAAGGGCATTGCTAATTTTTCACATCTCCTGCATAAAAAATCCTAATGTCTCTATAGTGGTGTCTGAACTAAGAAGGTGGAGGATGATGATTCTTCACAGCCAGGATTTGGCGATCGAGTCCTTTAAAAGGAGGAGTATATACGGTGTTTTCTTCCTCCTTTCTGCATGCCTTCGTGGTGTTAACAGTAGCACACTTGGCGCATATTCGAGAGGTCGAGTTTTGAGTCCTGGATAGGGCATAGCACATTTTTCACATCTTCTTCTTCCACAAAATACTAATTACTCTATAAGATTTTAAACGAAATGTTTACGGGAGCAAAATTTGATATTATTGGCTGAAATATGTAGTGATCAAGCAGTGGATTGTCGTTCAACTTTTCATTTGGCTACTAAGCTTTCATGAAGGGTGTATCAGACGTACATGATGATCGAAAATTAAGGAGAAATATCAGCAAGATTAAAAGAAGTGTAAAGCTGACATCAGAGTTGGGGCAACTGGTGCAGCTGCAGAGCAGTACTAAGGGGTGAAACAGGCAGTAAAATGCCTCTAACCTAGCACGATATTTACCTGCGACTCTAACCTAGTGCCTATAACCTAATACAGCAAAATGCCTTTAACCTAGTGTGAGGCAGAAGGAAAGACGGTCATCAAACAAGAACTAAAAAAAGAAAATACAAGCTTATATAATTAATATCAATATGCCGATTTTGACAAACTTTTGAGAAAAGACGTTTGTGTTCTGTTGACCCCTCACTTTTGATACAATGTTACCGATATGAAGATTTGATGATTAAGGTGAAAGATCTCTTTCTGGAATAATAATAAAGTCAAAAGTCGTCAATCCGGACACCCATATTCGGAATGATCTATAATCTGGACCTCAAAGCTACAAACTTTCTGCGCATGCATTCGCATATGCGTTTACGCGTGCACATAATGCGTTTATGCATGCGCGTTTAATGTATAATGGACGGTATAAGCTAAGCTAAAATTATCTAATTATGTATTTCAGTTAATGTTGCTGATTGCGTTGTTACTTAATCTTTGAATAGGATCCGGCTTATTATTTTTTGCAGACTGTTAGAGCAATTTTATAAAAGTAAGTTTGAACTTTCGGATTATGTCAAATAGAATTTCTGATGCTGAAGGATCTACAAAGGGAAAACATGTTTCAATGTTCATCAAACAAAAAGTGGAATTGCTGCAAAAAACGGATAAAGGCTCCTTTGTTTCTCTAACAATTCCAAAATCTGTTTATCAATTTCACGCTGCTCTGTGGGGGGGGGGACGTCGCGGCACGCAATGAACTGGAAGTTGATCTGTCAGCACTATCCTTATCTTCAGGGCAGATGTTTTTATTTTATTCGGCTTATAATTCCTTACTAAATGTAGTATTACATCTCGATGTACCCGTCTTTGATATGATTTAAATCAAATTCCTCGTCATTATAAATATCATGAATACAAATCAAATAGTTTTCCGGTTGCAATTTTCTAATTTCGACTATGAGTAATGTATGCTTTACGCATGCGCGCATTGAAAGAAATGTTTAATGAAATAAACAAGTAAATATTAAGCTTTTTTTTTTTGTAAATTTTGATACCCTTCAGATCATAATTGCTCTTTATTTCATAAATTATGGTTTCATATTTTTAATTTTATAATTTCTGCATGCCATTTTACCAGATTTAAACTGATGATCTACAATCCGGAAAAATCGATAATCGGGAATCGCCGAAGTCCCGACGAGTCCAAATTAAAGACTTTTGACTGTATTTGATAATAATGGGAATTAAACATTCTGACTAAAATTTAAATTGTTGTCAACCCAGTGATTCTTCCCACGAGTCCAAATATTTCAGCATACATAACCATTGCTGAAATAAATTATGATCTCTGTCTAGAATTACCAAGGATTTATTATATAAGATAGAGTTTCATGTAGGAAAACTGTTCAATTAAGCATATCATTATGAATAGTTGCAAAATCTGTGAAACAATGCATAAAAATGCTCAACTTGCTTAGGGATAAGAAATTAACTTTGAAGGAGTTCCGGAGAAAATTTAGACAAGTCTACAAACCAAGTAAGAGGCTGAAGATTCACTCCACCAAAAATAAAACCCCCATAAAATTATTCCAGAGATTAAATGAGCTCTGTATGGATTGCAAAGTGAAAGAGGTTTCTTCAGCAGTTACTCATGCCATTCAAGGACTGAATAAAAGTAGTACCTTACAACAAATAGCAAATCTTCCTGGTGGATCACAACTGTTGTGAAAAATAGAATCACACAGGAATGTAAGCTGATAATGCCTGAAGTAAAATTAACTTGAGATAAAAATTATTAGAGAGAATAATGAAATAAATATATTTGCATTGCATTTTAGATTAACTTCGTAATAGTGTATTCCGATGACCATTACCCATTCAAAAAGTAATATAACCCAAATAGTAATGATCAGAAATGGAATTATTTGTAATTTTATATATTTGTTGTTGTGATGATAAGTGAGCAGTGGACAGTTTGAAATCTATCAAATGTTTACTAACATAATATGAGAAATTAAATTAGTGATTAATAAAGAAATGTGGTGCTGGATGATTTCTATTTCAGATTCCATTTGTATTAAAAAATTAAACTATTATTCAAAACAAGTCAAAATTCAGATGGCAAAGGATTGAAAGTAGCTCGCGAGCCGCAGTTAAGGTGTATGAGAGGCACATGCAGCTCATGAGCTGCAGTTTGGACATGTCTGTTATATAACCTGCACAACCCTTCTTATGAGATGTGCTATTATAAGTCTTTTACCATATATATTATGCTAAAATATAACTAATAAAAATTATCTACCTTCTACATTCTGGGGAAATATGTTGAGGAACAGTGTATTTACAGTCCATTATCATTGTCAGGGTTTCACTGTCATTTGCTTCCTGGAAAGGAGCTCTTCCACAAACCAGCATATATAAAATGACACCAAGACTCCACACATCTGCAACATAAAATTAAAATTTGATAAATCTACATAATGACAGGGAATAGAAATGGAAAGTTTCAAAATTGATACACAGAGCTATATGAAAACATGAACTTTGGGATCTTTAACAAGTTTGAGATTCTATGCAAGAACTTTGGATATGAGAAGTATTCAAAATGTGTGCATGGAAATACCATTTGATATTTATGCACCCATTTTGGACAAATCAATAAGAATTTTAGTTAAAATCTATTCTAAAACAAGCTTGCTGTTTTGCCCAATTTTAAATTTTACATTGTGTTACTCTCCCAATTTGACACTCTGAGGCATTTTAGTTGATTTTTAACTAACCAAATTAAATTTTAATTTGCATCTTTCCCTTATGTCTCATTCCACCTTATATTTGCTCATTCCAGAGATTGATGCAGATTTGATTGTTGAGTTTACTGTAAAATGAGAGGAAGAATTTTTGTAACCGTACGAGTGGTATTAGATCAATGCTTGGCAGTGAAGTATGCACACTGTACTTGCCTGTTATTTAGTGAACACTGCTACTTGAGAGAACTAGAATTCCCAGCATTAGCATCAGAGGTAAATTATTAGCTTGTACAACCACAGTGTTGAAGCCTAGATAAGAAAATATTTAGATTTGCATTCAAGACACTTTCAAGTTCCAATTTAGTTTCTCAGCCCATTTAGCTTAGGAGTTTGGTAATTTTGTTTTCCAAGATTTTAACTTGATTGTCACATATTGCCAGTTAGAATAAAGTTACTGTTTATTCCGTATCACTACTAATTAAATGGTGAAATCACACCATTCGGTAATGTCATGTATTAAGTTATCGGCAAAAATTCGCATCTTAGCTATTAGACAACCCTGCAACGTGAGAATTAGAATTGAAGTAATTATAGTTCGACTGTCTCATCCGCGACCATGAGTGCAAACATGCATGCCCCATTTAGACCCAATTATTCTCAAAATAGGGTGGAAGGATGGGTCTTTCCCTCCAGCATAGCTCTTTCCGAAGAAGGGAAGACCTTTCACATCGCAGCAAGTAATACCGTCTCTTTTGGACGAGTCTATGTGTTTCGGCAGAATGCCAACCAGGGTTGCGCTATAGACGGTCAAACTATAGTAGTTAGAAACAGACCTTCAACTGTAATACATTTAGAATCTTTAGACATGATGAAAACACCCATTCATACCAAATTGATAAGAAAGTAAAGCAAGATTAACCCAGATAACTTTCCTTGCTTTTCCTGTTAATTTTAATGCTTGAGAACAGGAAGGGGGAAATTATGCAGGGAATAGTACTTCAGAAGAAATGGCTTAAATGATAAGCATAGCACATTTAAAACACATAAAAAGACTATTATATTATGCATTTTAAAGGATTTAAAATTTCAATAGTATTCATTTTATTTACACACTCTTCTTATTTGTGCACATTTTGTGCTGTTATCATAAGTCATCAATTTCTAAATCTTAATGCTGTAAAAATAAAGGGAATATTAAGGAGAGAACGAGAAAAATAAGCGAGTAAATATGTTATTTTAATTTTGCCACAAAACATTCATTTATAGCATTTTTTAATGTAAATGTTACAGCCAATATGATAATTGGGATATTGTTCGTTGGCTCTTGAGGCATTAACTGCTGGAGTTTTGACCTCTACTTGGGTCAGCTCGTAGGTCTTTGGCTGGAAATAGAAAAATAAGTGCTTTTGTGCAATTTCGATTAATATCCAAGTTAAACAAACATGAAGAAATTATCTTTGAAATAGGAAAATATGATAATAATTCTGTGATTAAAGCAGGTAATATTTGAACTCTTAGGTAGACAAATAAGAATATACATATGATATACATATACACACATATAAATATTATGCACAAAATTAGTTTATTTAGACATAATTCAGTACTTATAATGTAGTCTAGGTATGTATGAAAAAAGTGCTTTTACGGTTTTGAATAACAGTATATGGTGCATATTGAAAGAGGAAAAGGTATGAGAAGATTTATAGTTATGTACATTTCTTGACACATTAATCTATCTGCTGAGACGAAAGTAAAACTAAAGTTCAAGGAATGAAATTGCTTATCACAGCACACTTTAAAATATAGTACAGTTTTGTAATTCCTTAGCATAATAGTGCTAAATTACATGCTGCAAGAGTAATAGAACATATTGTCCAACCAAAAAATATCTTTCTGAGTAGCAACTACCGTAATTTCGCACGTATAGTCCGCACCATCGTATAGTCCGCAGACACCATTTTATAAAAAAAAATTTCAAAAATCGTCAGATAGTCCGCACCACCGGATAGTCCGCGGACTGTAAGTCCGAAATTATGTTTTTTTAATACGGCAATATTCCCATGCTTTTTAAACGCATCCTTTTGTTGGCGCCAATTTCTCACCGCTTTCTCGTCCACTTCAAAATAACGGGGTAAAATCCTAGTATACGGTGCAGCCTTGGCGTGACTTTAAAAATTATCGCCACCAACAAAAAAAAAAAAAAAAAAAAAAAAAGATCCAAAGAACGTCTATATATATAGTATACACACATAGTATATATACTATATACATAGTATATACTATGTTTAACTATATATTTTCTTTGAATGACCCGTTAACCTACTCATCGTATATGTCCCGTTTTCACTGCTCATCATAAATTAACCAGCGTATTATCCGCACTGGTGGATAGTCCGCAGCTTCAAAAATTCGCATTTTAAACACAGATAGTCCGCGGGCTATACGTGCGAAATTACGGTACTTAAAAAAAACCTGCACTCTATTCTACTGGCCCAATAAGTCATGATATTTATCGCATTTATCGTTACGAAATGGATATTTCCCAAATTTAATGATGATTATGATGATAAGTGCAAATGTAAATAATCTGGCAAGCTTTGTAATTCTAAAACAGTCTAATACGTCTAAAGTATACTTACATGAAAATCCAAATAAATGATTTTTTTCTCCATAGAATATGGGTTGGGTTTGTTTCCATAAAATAATCCGAATTTATTACCTTCCCCATTACGAGTTGGGGATTTTATAAACTAACCGGTAAATTTGATAACTATGAAATAATTTATCATATTTACCAAATTTAGTGGTGATTATGTATAATCATCGGTAATTTTATATATTCACCGATTTATCATTTTTCTGTAACATATATAGTTTTTGAAAGAATGGGGGAGGATTTAGAAGATAATTACAAATGAGGTTATCTTCAAATTCTGAAGCTGCATGAATGAAAAGGGACTTATTGGGGAAAAATGGATCCTTAACACAAAGATAAGTGGTTAAGACTCCAGTGACATTAAACTTGATAGTTCATTCCCCTTTTCAGCTTGGAAAATGGGAGAAAAAGACAGGACCACTAAAGTGGACATTCCCGTCCTTTCAAACAGATAATAACTAAGGCCACTATAATGGCCATCCCATCCCCAAAAGGTTAATGCACAGCAAAATGAAATAATTAATCATCTGATTACATCTAATATTACACATCTCATCATTATAGGTTTAACATTGAAAGCCTAATGTATAACTAATAGTTTTTTTACTATAATTCCAAATCTCACTTTGTACCTCGATTTCTTTTCTTCTAACATTTATCTAATCCAAAATTGGATTCATCAGGAGCTGGCCGGCCTATTTTCAAATGATGAAAGCCTGTTCTGGGTCCAATGGACCAGCGTGATTAAACAGATCTTTCTCAAAGGATGCCTAGTTTACGGAAGTTGCTGAAGTCCAGTGTAGTTGCGTGTGAAGTCATCCTCTTCATGTTTCCGAAGTTTTTTCACTGGGAATTTGATTTTGATCAGATTGGGTCTTTTAGACCCAGTGCACCTACTCATATTACTATTTCACAGTTGATCTGTGATAGTATAGAAAGCAGCAAACACGTTGCGTCATTTATCTTACAAGGAAGAAATGGAGCTACTCTTATATGTGCCCTCAGGTCGTCAAATGCAGTGACAAATTATGGCAGCGTGGAGTTTCTCTAAATTTTTTTTCTAAATTTCGAACTTTAAGCCTAAAATGTCTCCAAAAACCACATTTTGAACACTCAATTTAAACAAAAAATCCGACACAAAAACAAAAAAATTTAGATAGCAAAAACGTAAAGTTGCTAACCAAAAATATTTGACAAGAATCCATGTACACAGCGATATGTTTTCATTTAAAAAAACATCTACGAATTGCACAATCTAAGCAACGAACGAATTTACAAACTAAGCACACCTCACTTTAATAAATTAACATAACAATAAATTTCAAAGAATAATATGTACACAGTGTTCTGTTTCAACTTTAAAAAATATCTATGAATTGCACAATCTAGGCACTAAACACTAATCAACAAAATAATCTAAAATAAATTTCAAGCAATTAAAAAAAAAACAACAATAACGACAGAAATTCATACTAAAAAACAATGAACATAACATTCTACAAAATAAGAAAAAGAATAAAATAAAATGCACTTACCATGAATGAATGCTTTTTCGAACAGCAGAAATACCGGCTTATCTTTGGAATATGGTAACAGGTAGTTTGGTGACATTTTGGAGGCGATAAAAGGTTACTACCTAGGACTGGTAATAATGTGAGAAGTACTCAGTTCCGATTACGCATTATTTTGTGTGAGAAAAATGAGAGATCATGAGATATGTCATGTGACATTAATGGACGAATTACAGTTCTTTAATCGGAAAAGGGGGTAAATTTGGAAAAATTATTTTGTATTAAACTTCATTGTGTGTTGTGTGAAATAGTGTTGATTAATTTTCGGATTGCATGGCGCTATGTAAAGTGAATTCTAAATTTTTAATGCGTTTATCTGATAATAAGTTGAGATTGTGTGAAAGGAAAGATATTACAGATAAGTTTGAATGGCGGTGCAAGAAATCTGGTGAAAATGGACATTTTGTGAAACAGAGTGTAAGGAAGGGTACGTAGTTTGCTGAAAGTAGTTTGAGTATGGGTGAAAT